TCAAACACCTTTAACTACAGTGCTCTTTTCCTATCTGGTTGTCATATCCTACTAAAATGTATAGGTAAAATGAAAAATAGAGAGTATTTTACCTTCTAAAATGTAATAGGAGCAACCGAATTTTCATCACATCGACTGCATGAATCTTCACAACTAAAGAAATTTCATCCACAACTAGAGAGTAATGAATCCATTCTAGTGTAACCTTGGAAGTGGCTCTAATATGGTGGATGTAAATGCAAATTGACATCCATTCTCTATAACACGAACCTATATACAAGTATCAAGTATTAATTCCTAAAAATATAAAATAAATTAATTAGTTAATATCGTATAAAAATAAACTTAGATACCTGTTGATAGTAGTTTATTTTGGTCTGTAAGCAGCGAAATTCGAGTCCTCTCCAACAAATGTAGGCTGCCTTTACCGGACTTCCCGTAATAAATAGAAAACAATGGAATAGCTTTAACATTCTACGACAACTGATGGTGATGGGGGAGATGTGTCATATTGTAAATCACTGTGTTGAAATCCCTAGCAATATGCAAACCATCATTCCAAAAAGGTTCAAATTACACAGATTAGTAGATGTAATAAGTAATGAATGAACTATAGCACTTTGTGAATAAGTAAACTTTAGGAAAATTTAAAACTTACAAATGCTTAATGTCACATTCTGTGGAATTACTGGAGTCAGGTTCAACATCACATAATCATTCAAATTGGGCAGGCGAAATATCTTCATCAAATGATCGAATTCCACAACACATCCTTGATCGTGTTGTTCTTCTCAAATGGTTGGCTCCTCGACCTCTTCCTATCCCATATAGGGAGCTCCTTCTAAAGAATGAAATACAATGATTATCACATCAATGGTATGTGCTATCTGCCAAAAGAAATGATTCTTTGCCCATCTAATTATAGCACATTATGTACTACTAAGCTCATATGTCACCCAATCTTTCCGTCTAGATAAAAGTAGCGATTCAGTTAGACGATGACTTCCAACGAAGAATCCCGGCATCATGATTCCAAACTATAAAAAAAAAAAAAAAAAAAAAAGATATAGAAAGAAAAAGAAAAGCATATGGTAAAAACTAGGCTTCAATATAATTAGCAAGGAGTGATGAATTTATAGCTAACAAACGACAAAAATTATGTAGACATTAAGTAGTGCCTAATGGATCTCAGGCATTATGCTTACTTCCCAGCAGTCACCATCCTGTGAGTGTTGTAAGTCAAGAACAGTTAACTATAGAGTTCTTTGGCTATCTGGTTTCCACATCCCTCCATGGAAATCCATAATGTTACGTGTCAAATTGAGCAGAGGTTGAACTCAGCTAATCCGACCGACACCCAACAATCCTTGCCTGACTCGATCCATAGCCCATTCCATCTGACTATCTGAGATTGAACTTGACTTTTGCTTCACCATCAATTGGAACCGCTGACCTTGCTCTGATACTTCTACTCTGATATCTCTACTCTAATACCAATTGATAGATCTCAGCGTTGCATTATACTTATTTCTCATGGGTTATCTATCCTATGACTGATGAAAGTCAAGCACGCTTAACCACAGTGTTCTTTGGCCATCTGGTTGTTATATCCAACTAAAAAGTATAGGTAAAATGAGAAGTAGATAGTATTTTACCTTCTAAAATGTAATAGGAACAACCGAATTTTCATCACATCGACTGCATGAATCTTCACAACTAAAGAAATTTAATTCCACAACTAGAGAATAATAAATCCACTCAGGTGTAATCTATGAAGTGGCTCTAATATGGTGGATGTAAATGCAAATTGACATCCATTCTCTATAACACGAACCTATATACAAGTGAAAAAAGTGGGTTGGCTTGAGTGTTTCTCTCTCTAGAGAATTCTCTCTGACTTCTCTCTAGGGTGCCAACCCAAGGATGAGTTCCGACGTCTTTCTCTTCCGATGAGCAATGAAAATTGTTTACTGGAATTGGATTGCTTGTTTTTTCGGATTGTTGGTTACTTTAAAATAATTGTTTTTATTATTTTAGATTAAACTTTGGTTTTGTTGTCCCAGTTTGACCGAGTTCAAGCTACAGTGCTTTTCATGATTTTGGCGTTTTTGTTAATTACACAAGCTTTCCGGCGGTATGATTTGTCCGGTGCGACGAAGATGTAAGCCTTTCCCGGTGGATTTTGCGAAGGTGATGGCTACCCCAATCCCGTCGGCGTTTTGGGCGGTGACTACTCCAATCGGTGGTTTCAGTCCATACGCTCTGTTCCGATTTACCGTGGGCATGGGGAAGCTCGCTGGCGTTTTTCCGGCGGCAAGGTTTTTCCGTGGGCAGTCATGATTTACCGGTGAATCCAAGGAGTCTCCGGTGTGCGACTGTTCCGGTGACATTCTCGGTGTCTTGGTTAGCATCTACCTACGGAAAGATGGTGACTGAGTTCTCTGCGATTTCTCCGGCGATCCCGTAAGTTTTCTGTCGTTGTCTGTTTGTTTCTCTGGTGAGGGAGTTCTGACCAGTGAAAGGATCTTACCCGGCGTGTTTGCCTCTGTTTCTTTGCCCTGTATGTGGTTGTTTCTGTCCTAAAATGGTGCCTGGAGTTTGGATTGCGTTGGAGATGGCTTTGGGGGTTCCCAGCTTTCTGTCTAATGGTCCTTGATTTTTCCTGCCGTTGTGGGGGTGGTTTTGACTATGTTTGGGTGGCGGGACTGGTGGTGAATAAAGGCCAGGTGTGGTTTGAATTTTCCGGTGAGGTTCCTGATCGCTTTTTGCTGTTTTTCGTCAAAGTTGGGCCGGTGCACTGCCTGTTTGATCGCCATCTATGGATGACTCTGCTCTATAATGGTGTCTGGAGTATGGATCGTGGTGGGGATGGTTGTGGATGATTTCAATCGTCTGTCCAATATCCTTGGTTTTTCCGGCGATGGTGGGGTGGTCTCCTTCCGTTTTTGGTAGTTGCAATGGTGGTGGCGGTTCTCCGATGGTTGACCGGCACTAGCCTCGGAATGGAAAGGGCAATGATTATGGGATTTGCGTGATTCAAGGGATCATATTATTATGGTGATGATTTGATTCTTTACATGATTTATCTGCAAACCGCGTTGGAGGAGATACGCACGTGGGGTTTTGCCGGGCGTGCATGGATCATAGTTAATGAGACCGGGTCGACCCGTGTAATGGTGGTTGACCCGTTACTTGGCACTATGGTTTACGTATTTTCTGTTACAAGGTTTTAGTAGGATGGACTCTGTGGCTTGATGGAATGAGAGGTTGGTTGGAAGCCTTATAGCGTGGGTTCGAATTTACTTGCAGTGGTGGTTGTTGATTTTTAATATTTTTATGTGAAGTTCCCTCCCGTGACTTCTATGGTTAATAAAATCTTAAGACAGAATAGAGTCAAAGCTTCAAGTTGGCGCGATGAAAAAGTTCTCACATTATTGGAGTGAGGCCTGGGTTCAAGTCTCCATGCAAATTTGTTTTTACATTCAGATCTAAGGTGGACCACTGTGCACGAGACTTGCTTTTTTTAGTGCATTCCAGATTTATTGTAGTATTTTAAATGTTTTACTAGACAGTATTTTTTATGTTGGTTTTTGTTTTAATGTTTTGTGTAATCAGGGGTATGCCCCGGTGTCACATGTATTTGGACGTTTGTTTTATATTTACATTCCGATTTGACGAACATATATACAAGTACCAAGTATTAATTACTAAAAATATAAAATTAATTAATTAATATTGTATAAAAATAAACTTAGATACCTGTTGATAGTAGTTTAATTAATTAATATTGTAAGTAGCGAAATTCAAGTCCTCTTCAACAAATATAGGTTGCCCTTACCAGACTTCCCGTAAGAACAAGAAAACACTGCAATAGTTTTAAAATTCTGCTACAACTGATGGTGATGGGGAAGATGTGTCATATTGTAAATCACTATGTTGAAATCCCAAGCAATATGCACACCATCATTCGAAAATGATGTGTCATATTGTGAATCACTATGTTAAAATCTCAAGCAATATGCACACCATCATTCGAAAATGTTCAAATTACACAGATTAGTAGATGTAATAAGTAATGAATGAACTATATCACTTTGTGAATAAGGAAATTTAGGAAATTTAAAACTCCCAAATGCTTAATGTCACATTCTGTGGAATTACTAGAGTTAGGTTCAATATCAGATAATCATTCAAATTGGGCAGGCGAAATATCATCATCAAATAATCAAATTCCACAACACATCCTTGACCGTGTTGTTCTTTCTCCAATGGTTGGCTCCTCAACCTCTTCCTATCTCATATAGGGAGCTCCTTGGAAAGAATGAAATAAATACAGTGAGTATCTGGTATGTGTTATCTCCGCCAAAAGAAATGCTTCTTTGTCCATCCAGAACCCAATATTTGGACTTCAGTTTATTAAAATTATGAATCGAAAAAACTAGATCATAAATCCGATTCGCGATTTTGAACCGTCTTTATTTTAAATTTTCATTTTTTAAAAAAAATAGTTTAAATTCAACAATAAATGTATTTTATTTTTTTCAGTTCAGAACATGAACCGACCACTCCGATTCGTGATTTTAATAAACTCTAAATATCAGGTTTCGATTCTAAATTGTAATTGAAATATTTCAGTTTAGTTACTATAGTATCTGTTCGGCTTAAACCGAATCATGGTCATAATTTGTTGGAAAAGAAAAATAAATAAAATATTTATTTTAACGGTAAAAATGCCCATTTAACATTTCAAAGAAGAAAATAACCACTTGAATAATTCAGAGAGAAAGTGCTATTTTCCCTTTTTAAATATTATACTCAAAAGGCCAAAATAAAGAACCTTTAATAATAATAATAATAATAATAATAATAATAATAATAATAATTACTTTCGAAATATGAACATTTAATATACAAAAAAATTAACCTTCACTATACTAAAAATGAACCTTATGTCAATTACCTTATGTCAATAATTTATCTTACAAGGTAAACCTAGTCCATAGTATAACGATTGCCATTACATAGATCAACAAACACACATTATAAAATATTCAGAATAGTATAAAAGCCATCTTATTTAAATACTACTCCAATTAGCAGACTAGTATAAAAGCCATCTTATTGAAATACCACTCCCATTAGCTAGGATTTGAAGGTAGCACCACCTATACAGAGAGCCAAAGTAAGATAAAAACAAGAAGCTAATTACATATGCAGTTCGACCCACACAGCCAAAGTGCAGACTGCAGAGAGACGAGAACAGTCTTAAGAGCCGCTTAGCTGAGCTTCTCGACTCGTCAGGGGAACGTATCTCACAGAAGTCTCACTTCGAACACTGACACTGCCATCTAAATTCTTGTCCACCACCTTCAAGTCCTGGAAGAAGGTTCCCACCGGAATGACCATCCTGCCACCTGGCTTCAGCTGATCGATGAGTGCTTGCGGAATGTCACCTGCTGCTGCTCCCACGTGGATGGCGTCATATGGGGCGTGCTCTGGCCAACCCTTCCTCCCGTCTATTACGGGGACAAAAATAATCACATGCATCTATAAATGCTAAATTGTATGCCACTTGTTCAATAACATGTTATTGATCAAATATAGTACAAGTATTAGAGGTGACCAAATCCCGGGCTCGGGCAACTTGTGTTGCTTCTGGCAATTTGTGTTGCTTTTGCTGCCATGGCAATGTGTTGCTTTTGCTCAGGCCTAGACCCGGGCCCCGGGGTTATTTTTTATAGGACCTGAACTGGCCTGCTACAAGCCGGTTCTGGTCCGGACTAAGTCCGGGCCAATTCATGGTTGGTTCGACCCTAAACCGGCCCTTGACCACCTCCAACAAGTATGCCAAATCATGTTAGGCAAGGGTGTAGCTGTCTGGCTAAGCAAACCCAGACACAGCAATTGTCATGTTGACTCATGTGCAAATATTGCCCTTTACGGCTTTACCATATTTCCATGCTATGCCAATTGTCAAGTCTATTTTTTAGTTACTTTCCTGGATTATGCTTGTTTTACCCCTCTAAGCAGGAAATCCAGAGAAAAGATACCGTATATTGACATAGACATTTAATGGACATTAAATCATAATTCCATCAAACTTCAACTCAACATGATTTTCCATATGAAACTAAAACACATACCACCAACGTGCAGTGAGAGGGATCCTTCTTTTAACAATGGAGCAGCTGCACTTTTCTCAACATTCTTAATAGACCAGGCAGCCAACTCGGGGATATGCTCCACACCAACTGCCCGACCTTGTGGTCCAACCATTAGTGCGAAACAAGCTGTGAGATACCCAGTTCCTAAATGACAGAACCATCATAATTATATTATTAAAAAATACACTAAGTTAGAAGAATTAATAGAAGTTCTCATAAGATGATGAATACTAATAAGCTTTGAAGCAATCTAACTACGAACTATTGACACTGCAGAAGATTGATTGTTCTGATACACGGAAATATTAATATATTCATTAGATGTTGCAGCAAATTTGAGATATATGTACCTATATTGTTTAAAAACTGTACATTAGAGATTTAGAGCTAGGTCTGTTCTTGGAACATATTAGCAGCCAATCCCAGCCATATTTTTAGCACAAGTCCTGTTATTGGATCATCATCAAAGCCAAATAGCCAATTACAGTCATATTTCAGATACAAGGCCAGCACTTAGATCTTTAGAAGCCAATCCCTTTTCACATTTCAACAAACAAGTCTTGTTCTCAATTCTCACTAGAAGCCCATTTTTTGGGCACAAGACCCATTTTTGGATAAAATTGGAAGACAATCCCATGCACATTTTTACACACAGCAATAGAAGGACAAATCTAGAAGTTGGAGAAGATAAAGGACTTGAATAAATTTATGTACCCCTTTTTTGCCAAATCTATGATTGGATGGTGAGAAGAGAAAAATGTTTACTCCAACTTCAACTGCAATTCCAATATTGGCTAGCCTCATTGATTTGAAATCTAAACTGTATTCATTGAATTTGAAATCAAACTGAAACAAAGCTAAGGTTGTAAAGGCAGGTGTAAACTGAAATTGGTGTTCTTCCCAATTCTTACTCCAATTATTCTTATATCTTAGCCTTCTCTTGTGTTCATCAGTCTTTGATGAGACTCTCGTTGTATTCACTTCATTAAAACTGAGCTGACAGTATAACCAGATTGAAACATTCTGGCAAACAAAAAATTAAACCAGCTTGGCACAATCATCTTGTGAAACATTAGATAGATATAAATGAGGTTTTGGCATTGCCGCATTAGTTGGTATTCAGAAAGCCAATGATTTCAAAAAGGATAACTTAGTTAATGTGTCATATGGTCACAAGAACATTATTTTTAACCAACAGTTGTAACAGATAGGTGATGTGTGATAACAGCATGGCGCTGCATTGTCCATTACTTCGACAGAGCCTTGGAGAGCAGAGAATGGAAAATACAACCAAATCTTAGAACTACGATAACCAGGCCAAATCCTCAATCAACAGAAATTAAGATGCAATTGAGACAACCCCAAATATTGACTAGTGTAACAGGAATAAATATTACTATGAATCAATTCCAGCAATGGTCCCTCAACTTTTATGAAATTTCCATCTTTAGTGCTTTGTTTCATTTTATCCATTAGATGTGCATGACTTTGAATAAATTGCCATTTGAGGTCCTTCCAACCAACTTTCCAATCAAAAATCATCAAATGCCTAGCCAGTTGCTTCCCGGTAAAAGATTATCTGGCTTGCTAAACCTACTTGGATTCTACGTAGAATTTTATTTTATTTCCAATTGGCCTATTTACATATACATGAAAAAATTAAAATTACATTTTAAAAAAAAAAATTATTGAAAAGGCGAGACAGCCATGCAAAGAGACAAAGACCTAGGATGAAGTTAGCCTCTGGCTGTCTTCATTAAACTCAAATGAGGACAACCATGGTTGTCTTCGCTCAGATTTAATTAAAAAGAAAAAACTATACCTCCGTCCTAGATCTAGGATGAAGGATGCTAGGCATGCTGTAAATTTCATATTTTTTTTAATTAAAAGCCAAACGAGGGCAACTGTGGCTATCATTGTCTAGATTTTTACTATTAAAAAAAAAAAATAGTGGTGCTCTTCATCCAAGATTTGGGATGAAGGATGCAATGGTGTAATTTACTTATTTATTTTTTTAAAAATAAAAGCTGGGAGATGACAACCAACAAGGATCTGCGACGGCTTCCTTCATCGAATTAACACCTAACAACTAAACTAACACCTAATCGGAGCCAATTCTTTAAAAATACAAGTAAAATTCAACTTAACAGTAATTCACCGCCAACATAACATCTGCCTATTGGTCACAGGCTAAATAACCTAATTGCACTTTTGCCTTCATTTGCATTACTCTAACTACTTCGAGGGTTTATTTGACAATTATCCCTTTATTTTGGGGTGGGGTGGGGTGGTTAAGCTTGATTTTGATTTTCATTGGTGAAATGCACAACTTTGAAACTAAATATTATAAAGCTAGTTAAGAAGCTCCAATTTTAACCAAAGAAACTGAGAACAGATGAAACTCATAATTGTGGTTGTACAATTTAGTAGCAGGAAAATAATTTTTAAATTTTCATTTTCACTCAAATTAGCTAAAGTCACGTGCATAAAAAAAATCATAAAATTGAAGTTGTTTAGTTGTTTCTCACCATAACTCCTTCAACTGAACACATATATATGTGCTAGATACAAATTAGTTTAATTGGACAAGCTTTTTTCATAAAACCCATTTGCAGTCAAGAGCTGAAAAAAAATGGGAGCTGAAAAAAAATTGTTACTGGGTTTTTATGAAGAAGACAACTATCAAAAAGGCAAAATTACCCTTCATTAGTGTTGTTTTGTCACATGCTGACATGCTCACCAAGTCACCGGAAATGTGACCGGAAGGATCAAAAGTGTCAATATTTATATAGTGATGTGCAAATAGTGGAAGAAAAGGACTATAAGTGGACATGCCACATTAACCGAGGGACCAAATGTGGAATAAATTAAAATGTATAAAGATTAATTTGTGCTATATTTCAAGACCAATATGATAAGTGATAATCACTACATGGAGATTAGAATCTGTATATCCAAACATATAAATCACACAATAAATGGTAGCATATTCTTTAGAAGGTTGTGAACTTTTGATTTGTACCTGAACCAACATCTAAGGCATGCATGCCCGGTTGCAACCTATCCTCCAACAATTCGAGACACATGGCATGCATGTGGGGTGCAGAGATAGTGGCATTGTAACCTATACTCATTGGGCTGTCAATGTAAGGTGGTGTACCCTCAGGCACAAACAAAGCCCTGTCAATATTTAGCATTACTTCCGCTACCTTCTCTGATTTGATCACGCCATACCTTGTCAACTGATCGGTCATTCCCTTATTTCCATTCAAAGTGCTTCCACTCCAAAATTGCTGTGGACAAACACAAACCAATATTGAAATAATGGATAACACATAGGCCCATTTCATGACCTGTTCAAGGTTCAAGAATATAATGAAAACAAGGAAAAAAAAAAAAAAAAGTAGATGGACAGTAAAACAATATATGAAAAAGTCAATCACATATCACATGCACATGAAAAACAAGAAAATTGAAGGCAAACTAGTAGTTATATTTCGTTAAAAGTCACTACAAACAATATGCCAGCTAGTCTAAGGTCTTAAAATGCATTTAGAGTTTAACAAAATTGAATGGAGAAATAGATATGTTTAGCAGTTCAATAACATTGAACATTTGAATGAAGGTTATTATGGAAAGTTGAGTACATATTAATATTTCAAAGTGTCATAGTGTCCAGCTACAACAACAAGCAAGCAGAGTTCTTCTGGTATTACAAAAACTAAGATAAACTCTCACAACTTCCAAAGGAAAAAAAAAATTATAAAAAGAAGAGTTATACTTCCTTTTATGATTGTACACACCGCCAAAATTGGTTAGAAGCAGTATTGCCCTTCTTCACATGTGTGAAGAGATTATTTACCCACTCTTTTAATATAAATGCCAAAGCAATGAAGTATTCAACATCACAGCCATATTATCTTTACTCTAGTATTTCCCGCCTCTATATCTCTAGTCATTAGTAGCCTATTACTACATATGACAAGAAAAAGAAACAGCAGTGTAATCACACAGCTGGAGAGAACAAAGATAATTTTTAGCAATAATTGTCCATCAGCTGATAAACTCACTTAGTCACTTATCAAATAATAAACAAATGAAAAATGATCATCAGCCCTCGCAAAGGTACCGCCTTCCAGAATTCACTCCAATTCACAAAAATAATTTGGAAAATAACTTAATTTCTTCAAGTAAAATATATGTTGGATTTTCCAAATGTATATATTAGGACCTTAATTACGTGCTGCAATATGGTTGAACTGGATAACTATATAAACTATAAAGCATGTATTGATGGGATAAGAATATACATTGTACAGCAATTAAGTAATGGTACTCGTACAGCTCAGAATAATACAAATACACCATCAAAGTTCTAAGTATGAGACAAAATGGCTAATGTTGTTATTTTGGGTCTACAGAGGATATCAACTATGGCTACGATGTTAAGTTTCTCATAAATTAATAAGGCTGAGTTTGGATAGTGTAAGCGATCAGGAGAGAGAAAGAGAGAGATTACCTCCATGGCAGAGAAGAGAGAATTCCCCGTGAAGAGGTTGGGCGACGGGAGACGGAAGAAGGAAGAGACGAGGACGAAAGAGGCGGATAAGACAGAAGGTGGGCGAAGCTTATGATGGCGGTGGAGATGGAGGTGAGGAGTGAAGGCTGAAGGAGGAGGAGAACTAAAAGGCGCACGATAGCGGAGAGCATACGCTACTGCTGAGTAGGAGAGAGATACGGAAGGGGACGTCATCTTCATTCTCACCATTCTTCTCGCCTTTAATTTGCAATCTCTCTCTCTCTCTCTGTACAGATTTCGCACGCACTCGTATTCCTTCTCGCACGTGATGGACGCTTCTATTATCTTCTCGGGCCTTCATCAGGATCATGTTAGGCTTCTATTGGATCCCATTGTCAACCCAGCCCAAAACAACCCATTTATATATACTACAACCCAATTCAATGCTTCGCCAAATGATCCAGTAGTTATATTATGGACCACGGTCCACACAATAACTATTGATTATCCATCATTATTTCATGGAAAAATTATCAAATTGGCCCCCTAAATTAAACAGATAGTGCAATTGAGTCCCTTAAAAAAACAATTTAAAAAACTCCATTTAAACTCCTTAAACTGACAAAAATATCAATTGAGTTCAAAATTACTTGATTAGTAAGTTAAATCATTACCAGGCTAACACTTGTCTTTTCTTTTTAATTTTATATTTTAATGAATTGCGGAGTATTTTATTAAAAATTTCCTTTTTTTATAATTTAAAGCTGCTTTTAATTTTTTAATTATTAAACAGTCTTGACAGCCACCAGTTGACAGCCAAACCTCCCGCAAGGTAGGTCGAACAACAGGACGTACTGGCTGCAGGATCTGCCGGAGGATGAAACTGGGAAAGAGATGGTGAAGTAAGGAGATACGAAGAGTACAGAGATTTATCTCCACATGAAACCCATGTTGGATGGAACTTTACTAACATATTGGGTTGGTTGTTCTATCCATTCAACAGACCGGCGACGACCAAGCTTGGAATACTCGACTAACCGCTTGGCCACACTGGGGAACATATCTGACTGAGTTCTGTACAAAATGTACTTCTCCGTTCATAGTAGCGGGGCGTGGGTGGATAACCGGGACATCGAGGTTTTTATTTTTTTATTTTTTTTTATTTTTTTTACTCAGGGACTCAATTGCACTATTTATTTCACTTTGGGGGCCAATTTGACCATTTTTCCTTATTTTATTTATTTGTGTGGACCGTACATGGTCCACACAATAATTTACCGCAAATTATATTGTTGATCATAATCAAATTTACATTTTAATATACTAAATGTATATATACTACAACCCAATTCAATACTTCGGCAAAATTATATTGTGGATCAATAAATGTACATTTTTAATATATTGAATATACATTATTTGTGTACTAAAAGTTCATTATCTAGTAGTATACTAAATAATGTATCTTTAGTACTCAAATAATGTACCTTCAAAAAATATATGCTATTCTTGAGAACTTAGGAATAGTTTAGTGCTAGGGTCCTCCATTAGAATAGTTATTCACATTGCAAAGAGAATATATATATATATATATATATATATATATATATATATATATATATATATATATATAGAGGAGTGATAGATCACATGTGGCCATGTTGTTAGGTGTGGTCATATGGTCAATTATAGACCATTAGATTAGATAGATCTAATGAATCATATTAATCAAGATTTTTCCAGTATTTTCGCGCACATTCTCCTACCCAGCAAACTGTAAGGGTAAACTTGTCATAAAATACCGGAATAGGGAAAATCACATTGTTGTGTGTTTTATTACACTATTGGTGTATTCTGGAACCCGACCGCTATAAATGGCCACTGTAATTACCATAACACGGGAATACACCATTGGTGTGTTTCACTGTGGTGTGTTTTATTACACTATTGGTGTATGTTGTCAACACTGTTGGTGTATTCTGGAACCCGCCCGCTAAAAATGGTCACTGTAATTACCATAACACCCCCACTACCTTTAGATTAAACTGATTCAACGACACAAATACGACCACACGACCACACCTAATGACATGGCCACATATGAGCGTTTTTCTATATATATATATATATATATATATATATATATATATATATATATATATATATATATATATATATATATATATATTATTTTTGAGAATATTATTCTCAAGAATAAAATGACTTATCAAACGACATAATAAATCTATTCTGGAAATTGTTATTTTATTCCTAGCTTATTTCGTAAACTACACATGTTGTAATAGTTCTCAAATTATGATGATTTGATATGATTATGAAAATTATGGAAGAACATAGCTATCAATCTATCATAGATTTTTCCAAAATTAGTGCAACAAGATACAAGCCAACAAGTGAATAATAAGGCATGGCTTTAAGAGGGCTACTATAACCACTCGTGGATAGACCTTATCCAAAATGAGTTCAACCATATTTATGTAGTGGGCAAAAATTTTACAAATATAAAAAGTAACATTCAGAATTTTACTTTCCTCTTATACGTACGTTGTTTTCTTTGTTTCTTCTTTTTCTCTTTGGAGTTTGGATAGACCTTATCCATTTAATAAATTAAGGGCTATTTATAACAAAAAGCTCTTGATTTGGTCTCAAATATGATCAACTCAAACACTTTAGCCTTCTTTGTGGATATGACAGATAGAGAAATAGTGAAAGGTGATTAGATTTGCGTTAGAACACGACACTGTTGCAAAAATCGATCTAGGGGCCCTTAGGCTGAGGCGATTTTTTGTCCTTGCGGATGCGTCGCCGTTGGTAGTGACACAACTGTTCCGGCGTCTTTGCTCAGTCACGTGTCTCCCATAATCATCGTAGCTACTTACTCTATTACATTGTAGTATCTGTTCAAACATACTTTCTCAACCTAATGAAGCACACAAAGTCAACAACACCTCCACTGAGTGTCGATCTCATGACCTTCCACATGGGAGAAGTCACTATATGCCATCTGAGCACAAGATGCTTAACTTTATCTAATTTATTTAGTTTGCACCTTACTTCATTCGTACTTGATTTCCAAGATTTCAACGAAGTTGTTGGCCAAATCTGTAAGCGATCGCTTTTGCACGTTTGCTTATTATGCTTTTCACCAGTCTATATATATTACGGATACACATTACATATATAATATATAGATATAGGTGTTACCCTAGTTATATATAGTAATATATCATTTTTGTAATTCTTACTTCATTAATATTAATATGAATTCGATAATTATATATATATATATATATATATATATATATATATATATATATATATATATATATATATATATATAAAGTAAAATCCTCCTAGTCAAGTTTTCCCTCCAAAATTTAAGGGCATTTATGTAATATCATTCATTTATAATAATAATAATAATAATAATAATAATAATAATAATAATAATAATAATAATAATAATAATAATAATAATAATAATAATAATGTTTTTACCTTAATTACAAATTATTATACTTTCCTTTTGAATTAGTATTTTCCACCTATAAATATAATTTTATAATTTCCTACCTTTTTCTAACTATATTCTCCCATACTTCAATATGTTTTGCAGTTTATATCATCTTGTATGAGTTTGAAGATACTTAAGGAGGCTTTACTTCAACAAAAGAAAATTGAGGAGGAAGAGGTTTCGTAACAGAACCCAAATGGTTTAGTTATTATGGAAGAGCGCAAAGATGCGATCGAGGATGATAAACACGGTGATTTTGATAATTTTGTAAGATTTTATGAAACTTAGAGTTAGTATGTTGACTTCAAGATTTGTACATGTCATTCAAGTTTCTATATATTTTTTTTAACAAGCAGCGTTAAGGGTTTACGTGGTTCGTTGGGCAAAACCGCAATCAAGCAAAAGCTAAATCAAATTGAGGGGTGTGGACGTTGTAGATAGATGTCATTTCTCATCCTACTTTGCCTTTTTCTAAAGAGAGTGGGAATGTGACGGTGAGGAAAGAGAAAAAGAAAATGGACAGAGTTTTTATTTTTTATTTTTTATTTTTTTTACTAGAAGTTTCTATATTTTCCTTATACAAATTTATATTTGTAAATTTATATTAATAAATGATTATTGTAAATTTATATTACACCTTAATTATAAAAATTCTACCTAATAATTTTAGTATTAAACGTCATACAATAATTACCATAAACAATGTTTAATAATTGACAAATTCTATTAGTCAATAAAAATTACTATTATAAAATCTTTGGTAATATGTGCACATTATTTTTAATTATTTCGGCTTAATAATATTATATCTTATTTATAAAAATTCGAAATTATACTTTTAGTACTATTGAATATTGATTGACTAAAAATTATCTTAATTATTAAGACAATTAATAGGTATTTAGCATTAAATTTTTTTCAAAATTTATGAATTATACATAATAGAATGGAATCAATTAGTAGGACAATTATATTAGGCAATCTAATTAATAATTTACTTTTTAAATTATATTCCCTTTTTAATAATGAATATTTTCTTAAAGTATATACATAGACTATGTTTATCAATATAGAATTAAAAGTGTGTGTGTGTGTGTGTGTGTGTGTGTGTGTGTATATATATATATATATATATATATATATATATATATATATAGAGAGAGAGAGAGAGAGAGAGAGAGAGAGAGAGAGAGTTAATTCCAGCAATGGTCCTCCGACTATATTGATTTTCAAAAATTAGTCCCTGACTTTTAATTTGGACACTTTACATCCCTTGACTTTCAACTTCTTTCCAATTGAGGTCCTTTCGTCATATTACAGTAAAGTGGAATTTAAATGAAAGGGTAAAGTAGTCATTCCATTTGCCTAATATATAATTCTTCGTATTTCTTCCTTGTATACGTGACTTCGAATATCGGATTCACTTAATTGCTTAATCCCTAATGGAATTTTGTTCTTCGAGTGGATTTTGGGATTAAGCAATTAAGTGAATATGATATCCAAACACAATATTCGTGAGGATTTATTTGGTTTCTATCTATTTTTAGTGCAACATTTATTTTTAAGCCAATCAAAATCAATTACTCCAGTATGCATATTTGTTTTCCCATAAAATGTTTATGTTTATGGGAATAATTATGGTTAGCTATTAATGACTCCTTTCTCAATAAGTCTTAACTTAAGATTGAAGCTATAAACAAAAGGGTGGCAGAAGACACTAAGAACATTCCA